TATTCAAAGAATACACTTTTCTATATTGTAAAAACAGGACAGCAAAGTAAATCATACAGAAAATAAACATTTATACTATTCTGTAAAAAAAAAAAGGGTTTTGTTTTCTTTAAAAACACTTTTAACCATGTTACAAGCAAATTTTAAAATCTGATTTTAAGTAAGTTTGACTTCTGAAAGCACACAACTAAAAAATAAGTCTGTCATTTTGCCCAATTAAGCTAAATTGCTTTGAAACGAGAGTATGGCTTCTCTTTTCCCCCTGCTGCAAAAGGGCAGAAACTTGGTCTACTTTTTCCTTTCTTTTAATGTCTGATGTTTTTATGGTGAGCACCTTCTTAGTTTCCTTTTCTCTCAAGAAACTAAAAGCAATCTAATCTGTAGGTCTTATCTCTGGCTTCTCTGGAAACAGAACTTTAAAAGCTGCAGGCAATCAAACCAGCGGAGCAGCAACTGTAGGGGGAGACCACTGCCTTAGCTTCCCTATTCCTTCATAGGGACAACTGACATTTTCTTAGTCTTAGGTAAAATGTGAATAAAAATAACTTTAGAAAAGTTTTCCACTTTTATTGGTCTGTAACACAAGTAGCTAAGAAAATACTTGTTATGTAAATGCAGGTTCAAACCAGGACCTCCAGCATCATGTTGCATCCTTTTTCAGCATTTTATGTAGAAATTCCACAGCAGCAATCCAAAGGAGAGGAAGGCTAGAAAGCCTTCACTATTGGAATTATTTTCTCTTATGTCAGTTACTTAGGGTTTGGTGTGTGTGTATGTGAGGGTTTCTTTAATGCAGATGTTGTCATTATAGACCACATGTGAGCTCTTTATGATCCAAGTGATTTTATAAAATGAAATGTATAAAGGCCTGTAGGTTTTATGAAAGCATTTAAGGCATGCTTAGTTTTTACTCAAAAGCAGTAAGAAAATAAATATGTTCAGAGTAATATTTACTATAATGCCACAGACTTCAACTCTGTGATTATATTATCAAATGAAATCTGGCGGTAGATAAAAAGAATGCATCATGATCCAGTTGGGTTTTATCCCAGTAATAAAAGGTTGACTCAACATTAAAAAATAATCAATGTAATTCACTGTATCAACATACAAAAGAAGTAAAACTATATGATCATCTCAGAAGTTGCAGGAAACCTTTTAAATATACTAAAAACTGAATTATATGCTTTAAAAAGGCAAATATTACAGTATCTGAATTATATTCAACTGTTTTTCAAAAAAAAAATTAAAAGGTACAGAAAAATTGACAAAATTCAAGACCCATTTATGATTTAAACACACATACACACACTCTTCGGCAAACCAGGAAGAGAAGGGATTGTCAACCTGAAAAGACCATCTACCAAGAAGTCTACAGCTAACATCATATGAGTGATGAAAGGCTGAAGGTTTCCCCCTCAAAGACTGGGATCAAGGCACTCTTAGTCAACACTGTGTTGCAGGTCACTGTACAATAAGGTCGAGGGTGGGGTTAGCGGGGTAGGGGGGAGAAGGCACAGACTGGAAATGAGTAAGACGGTATCTACTGGTGGATAACATGACTGCCTATATAGGAAAGTCATAGCAATCTTTTTAAAAAAAGGCTACTAGAACTAATAAGTGAGTTCAAGCAGTCAATAACAAAATTATATTTTTACATAGTAGCAATGAACATTTAGAAACAAATTTTTACAGTTACCATTTACAATAGTACCACAAAACATGAAATGTAACAAATATATACAAGATCTGTAGGTGAAATGTAGAAACATTAATAAACTTAGAGAAGACTTTAAGAAAGATATACCATGTTCGTGGAGTGAAACATTCAATATTAACATCTCATTTCTTCCCAAATTGATCTTTAGTTTCCACAAAACACTCAAAATCCCAGCAGGAATTTTTGTAAAAAATCAAGCTGTTTATAAAGTTTATATAGAAAAGTACAATTAGAATAGCCAAACATTTCTGAATAAAGAATAGAGCTTCAAGACTCCTAGAAGGCTAATCAGGACACTGTGGTACAGGTGAAGCGTTAGACCTATGGATCAATGGAACAGAACAGAGAACCCAGAAGCAGACCCATGTATATGTGGTCAATTTTTTACAAGGTTGCAAAGGTCATTCAGGAAGAAAGAATAATCTTTTTAACAGTGCTGGGATATCCACATATAAAAATATGAAACTTATACCACAGACCAAAATTAACTGAAAATGGATCATAACCTAAATGTAAAACCTAAAGCTACAAAATATCTAGAAGAAAACCTAAGAAGAAAAATCTCTGTAGCCTTGGGTTGGGAAAGATTTCTTAGATATGAAACTATGATCCCTCAAAGGAAAAGAAGATGATCAACTGGACTTAGCAAAATTAGTGTCTGCTCTTCAAAACACACTAATAAGCCACTGACTGTCAGAAAATTTGCAAAATACAGCAGATAGTGTACTTATATCCAGAATATATAATTTTAGTATATGTGCTGCCGAAGCGAGCACCAGAATATATAATTAACAAAAACAAATCAACCTTCCAAAATATGGGCAAAGGACTTGAACAGACTTTTCACCTAAGATTATGTGGCCGGCAAATAACCCTATGAAAAGACGCTGAGTGCCATCAGCCATGAGGAAAATGGAAACGAATGCCACAGTGAAGTGTCGGGCGCGCCTATTAAACTGGGTAATTCCAAACAAAAACCGAGCACTACCAGATACTGGGGAGAAAGGAGAGCAATTGAAATTTCGTACATTCCTGACCGGAGTGCAGGTATGTGGTACAGTCGTTCCATAAAGGTTCTGGCAGTGCTACAAACCCTCCCCACATCACCCACGGTGTGGATACAGCACGTTTCTATGCAACCATTCATCAACTGGACATCTAGGCTCTTTCACTTTTTAGCTATAATAATGCTATGATATGTGTGTACAAGTTTGTACATGGACATGTTTTCATTTCTCTTGGGTATGTGCCTGTCAGGAGACTGCTGGGAGATATGGTAACTCTGTTTAACCTTCTGAAGAATTGCCAATTCTGAAGAATTGTTTCCAAAGCATCTGCGTTCCCACCAACAGTGTGTGAGGGTTTCAATTTCTCCCCTCTTTTAACACTTATTATCTGTCTTACAGCTACCCCGGTGGGTGTGAAGTGTTACCTCATTGTGGTTTTCATTTGCATTTCCCAGCTAGTTTATGGTGTTGGGTATATTTTCATGTGTTTACAGGCCATGTGTAGATCTCCTTCGAAGAATGTCTATTGATATTCTTCACCCATTTTTCAAACTGGGTTATTGGTCCTTCATTATTGAGTTATAGGAGTTCTTGGTATATTCTGGATACAAGTCCTTTATCAGATATATTAGTAAAAATTTTCTCCCATTCTGTGGGTTGTCTCTTTCTTGACGGTGTCCTTTGAAACACAAGTTTTTATTTTTGGTGAAGTCCAATTTACTTTTTGTTATGTTTTTGGTGTCATATTTAAGAAACTATTGCCTAATCAAAGTACCAAGGATCTACTTGATTTTCTTCGTGGAGTTTTATAGTTTTACCCTTTACATATAGGTCTTTGACCCACGTGGAATTAATACTTCTGCATGTGGACATCCAGTTGTTCCACCACTATTTGTTGAAAAGTAGAAAGGATAAATTTCTGAAGAGAATGTTTGTTTTCTCTGAAGAAAAAAGGACAAAAGTGCTAAGTGGAAAATATAAACTAAATTACCCTAATCAAATATGAATAATTTTAAAAATTCACTGTAAAGCGTATCATGTGAAGTAAACCTGGTATCAGACTTGAAACCCTTTCACTAAGACGAGAGCAAGTAACAGTTAAAGGCAGTGAAGGAAATATTTTTGTCTTCCATGTTTGTCCAATTTATCCAGCACTTAAAGAAATAATGCAAAACACTAATTTCTTAAAGTACAATATGTATTAGTAAAGTTATAAAATGCAACAGCAAAGAACAGACACCTACAGATATGAACCTAGTTTTAAGTAAAGTTCAGGACAAAACCTGGATTTATATAAACAATAAATTAAAAGGTGGTGATTTACAAACAGGCTTCTTTTAAATAAGATTATCCGGTGCATCTAAACTCATTCCATCACAAACAAAAACCACAACATCTAGACTTCTCAGCAACAGCTCCTGCATAAAATGTAGTACAATTCTGGTTACAACTCAAAATTTAAGCCTTTGAGGTAGAACAAACAAATATATCAAAATATACAATTTAAGGAGAATTTCAGTTAATAAAACTCAACTTTACCTGGTCATTAATCTTCTGCAAGTTTCATATTAACTATACTTTGTGAATATTCAGTCAATGACAAGAGTAAATGTTTTACACACAGAGATGAATTGTGCTTGTTTCTTTTATTTAAAACAGTCCCCGTATGTGAAAGTACACGTACTTAAATGTTTTTCTATTCATCTTTTCAAGTTTAGGTGTGAGAGAATGGAGAAAATTTGTTCTTTGTATATTTTCATCTTGAGATGATTTAAGCTCCTCTAAATTTCTGAAAAAAACTTATTATATAATTAAGACAAATATTTTCATAACCAAATGACCATCTTTTTCTAGTTTATTAGTCGCACGACATACATCTCATTATTGATTCAACACTGAAAGTAAGTTTACTTCAGCCTCCCGGCAAAGACGAGGAGACGTCAGAAGGAGAAGCTGAAATATGCTTCTTCTCACCCTCTGATGGGCACTGGGGTCTTCCGGTGGTCAAATAAGTACCCACTCTATCACTCAAAAGTAGTATTCTGAAGTCCAAGAACATGGATTGTGAAAATGGCCTCACCTGCTTCTTGGACTACATTCCTCAGCTTTGTTGCAGCCCATCTCTCTTTTAGGGTACCTTGGCAAAGGGACTTTGTGGTATTTGAGATTTAAAGTTAACCTAATTTTCAAACCACATCCTAATTTTCATATGTAAGGGAAAAATTATATCCAAGGTTTTATAGGTATTCTGTCAACATTCCTTCTTTTTTTAAAATTTTTCTGTTAACACTCTTAGCAGCTGTAAACCAAAGCGCTTTTAGGGAAGGTAGTCTATTTGTAAGAGTCAATGTTTTAATGACTCTCAGTTGTTGTTATTCTCTCGCTTTAAAATAGACGGAACAGGTTAAAAGTATGTCCGGTCCCATTGCCCAGTCGAAGTAGTGTATTCAAAGGCAGCGTCTGTCGGCTAGTCCGTCCCGCTGACCTACAGCTTTCTACGTTCCAAGTAACTGAAATGCTGCCAACCAAAGTACGAGATTTTATAATACGCAAAATTCGAAATTCTAGTGAGTCAGAATTACAAACTTGTCAACTGTGCAGAATGGTCAATTTATAAAATACAGTAAATTCAACTACACAAAATGCTGACCAATTATTCTTTACAAAAACCTGGACATATCTTAGGTTCCTCATTTGAACGGATATCCGTCATTACTCAACAAATGCCTGAATTTATTGGTATTAGCGAAACCCGAACATCTGTAATCCTGTAAAGATGACCAGCGTTTCCTTGAGAAAGTTTTCATTTCGGGTCTTTCTGAATGGTGTTTCCAAGGGTACTGCGCTGCATCGTTAGCTCTGATCTTTAAGAAACAGACTATGATATCCTTTAGTAACTTTACAAAGTGATTGACGGCGCACACTTCTCCATCGAAGAGATGCTCATCTAAATCTACAAAAAGATAAAGATGCCCGGAAAGCTCACATAAAATTTTCTGCTGCAGAAACAAGTCTCTCTGTTTAGGAAGCAGTTCACAGACTGCCATCCTTGAGTGGGTTCTCACAATCCGCTCGCAAGTATTTATGACTTGACAAAGACTTTCTGAAGGGAAATGCAAACCATTCTTCTTTTTAACACACAACAGTGACCCAATTTTCGCAACTTTGAGATCGGAAGCATACAGGGCACTGATGCAGTCCTCACAAGTTAAAAGAGCCGATAACTTGTTTGCAATATAACCAGCACAACAGGTGAGTTTTCGCCTGTGATCAGACAGATCGAGTAATGCCTCACTTAGAGAACAATCAGACCAGTCTTGGCAAATATCCTCTTTGTGAAAAAGACTCTCTACAACGCTGACACCATACTGACGTTGAACTGTCCACAGGGCCAAGTCTGTCCTTCGAGCAAGTGAAATGTCAAGGATGCTTACTTCACTTAGAAAAACTTCGTCCTGTAATCTGTATCTGGTCTCCAAACTATGGTAAGCCGCCTGGAATGCCATACAGGTAGGGGCAGAACTGGTTACTAATACCTGCCTAAGCATCTTCAGAAATAATTCCAGATGGTCTTGACTGAATTTGTAAGTCAGAAGATAGGGAAAAGGCATGACCTTAGGGAAAACATAATTCTGGTAGAGCCACTTTAAGCTCTCAGCATTAAGTAAAAATCCCAGGAATCCTAGTTTTCGCTTACCTTTAATTATTTGATTGTTGCTAGCATCAGATAACGTCACAAAGATAGTCTTGGCTTCGATTAGCACACGATTAATTTTACTGTAAGTCTCAGGCAGCAGAGGCCCTTTAAGTCCTTTTCCATAACAGTTCCTACTATTAAAAATGTCAAACAGGTTGTTAATTAAGCGTAAAAAATGGACAGTACCAATACAGTTCTGAAAAGGAGGCAGGCCTAGTGAGAGCAAGCACTCCAACGCCCCCGCCACGCTCTCACTGAACACCTGGGCAGCACAGTTCATCTTCAGGACGTGGTTTTTCAGATTGGCAAGTCTTCCTGGCAGCCCTTCCATGCCGGCTAATTCCTGCTCCCCCAGCGCTGCTAACTCCACAAGGTGCCACCAATGTGCCGTGCCATTAATGAACTGAATGCTCTGCAAGTTCTGAAACGCGTTTCGTATTAACCTGAGCAAGTGGCAAGAATCAAAGAAGTATGCGATCTGCTGACTAGAAGATGAAGGGTGCTGGAAGGTACACTTCATGTCGTCTCCGTCCATGTGTATCCCCAGCGCTTTTGCCATCTGCACGCTGTGAGCTGTAGCATCAGACGTGACGGCCAGAACCGTGATCCCTATGTCACTCAGTTTGCCAATGGTGAGACGCAGCAGCTGAGCTTGCAAATATCCAGACGCCCTGTTTACAAAAAAATAACCAAGAGGTGTTCTCCAGTGACCACAAATACCCACTGCCATTAACAAAACAGTTTCGGAGGCGAGCGGCGTTTCATCGGCATCAAGTATGCCAAGGCCGAAGTCCATAAACCCTTGCAAATGGTGGCTGCTGGGGTCCCACTGAAGTTGTTGCTTGAGAGAGACGCCTTTTATGGCCAGTGAGCAATACTGATACCGCTGGTCTCCATTCTCTACTCTTTGTTGAAGAAAAGAAAAAACGTTGCTGTTGAAACCTGGACTGGGTTTGCATTTGGATAACCATCTGTAAAACATGAAAAATGAAAAGCATAAGACTCAAATGAAGAGACAAAAAAAGGAAAAATGCCTTAAATGGCAGTAAAGTAGGGGTGTCTGGCTGGCTCATTCAGTTGAGGATCCAGCTCTTGGCTTCGGTTCAGGTCATAATCTCGCCGTCCTGGATCAGGCCCCACGTCGGGCTCCGCGCTCACTGTGGGGTCTGCTTCAGATCCTCTCTCCCTCTCCAATGAATAAATGAAATCTTTATCTTTTTTAAAAAGAGTGTATTTCTTTATTTCAGAGACAGAGAGCACAAGCAGGGGGTAGTGGGAGAGGGAGAAGCAGGCTCCCAGTTGAGCAGAGGGCCGAGGCAGGGCTCAATCCCAGGACCCCGGGATCGCGACCTGAGCAGAAGACAGACACTTCACCGACTGAGCCACCCAGGTGCCCCTAAGTAAAATCCTTAAAAAAAAAAATACTAAAATAGCTCAAATCCCTATAGACAAAGCCAATGTAAGCAGCCAAATCTACAGTTATTTCCAACGCGTATTCATAGAATCACCGTAACATAAGGTGACAGGGAAACTCAGAAACAGAGCAGTATTTCAAGATGCAAACATAGCACAAATCAATTTTCATTGCTCATTTACTTTTTAAGAAAGTATACAAATCAATTACCCAGTTTCTTCTCATTGATGTGTTTATAATTTAGACCATAAACCAGTCTTACCTGTAAATTCAATGAAACAAGAAAACTGCTTAAGGGGAAGGGAATATTGAGAATATCTAGCACATCTACCTCATTTTACAGATTAGGAAACTGGGACAGAGGGAGAGCTTAAACCACATGGCCCTTACCATGCTGCTAGTTCTGAACAAACGGAAATCCTAGCTTTCCTGAGGTCCTGCTCATGCTTTTCCCACCATTCCCTGCATCCTCCAAATTATGCCCTCAGGGACAATTAAGGTGCTTGGATCTGTCTGCCCTACACCAGGTACCTATGTTACTGCCTTAGTTCGTCTGTGGTGTCCCTGACCATCCCAGACTCCTGATTACTCTTCCTATCAACGTCAGCCTCTGTCTTCAGAATTCTTTTCACTCATTTTCTAATTATTTGGAGGGTCAGGAAAGGCAACAGCGAAGCTGAATCAGTGTCTCAAATAAGACTAAGTGGACCCTAGAGACTGGAGTGTTCATCCTGAGGTTTAGTTGAAAAAAAAAAAAAAGTATTTATTTATTGCAGAGAGAGAGAGAGCGCGCGTGCGAGAGGGTGAGCGTGTGCACAAGTAGGCAGAGAGACAGGCAGACAGAGGGGAGAAGCAGGCTCCCCGCTGAGCAGGGAGCCCAATGTGGGGCTCAATCCCAGGACCCCAGGATCATGACCTGAGCTAAAGGTAGACATTTAACCGACAGAGCCACCCAGGGCCTTCCCTACATTTTCAAGATTTTTATTTATTTAGGTGAGAGAGAGAGAGAGAAGGCAGGCTGCGAGCACAAGAGAGGAAGGGGCAGTGGGGAAGGAGAAGCAGACTCCCAACTAAGCAGGGAGCCTGAGGTGAGGCTTCGTCCCAGGACCCTGCGATCGTGAGCTGAGCCAAAGGCAGACGCTTAACTGAGTCACCCAGGGACCCTGGGGCGGGGCGTGTTCTATTTCTGATTTTTGGGCTATATTCTAAGCTGCCAAGGTTTCTTCCTGGACAGCCGACCTCTATATGAGACTCTTACATACCTCCTGAAGTATTTCAGGACAGGGCTTTCCAAATATTGTACAGCAACCTAAAGTTCCATAAATGAAATTTACCCTCACTACATGCCATGCACACACATATATACCATGTGTGTATATAATGCCAACCATGACCCACTAAATTGACTTCAAGATGTACTAGTGGATTTAAAAAACACATTTAGGGCGCCTGGGTGGCTCAGTGGGTTAAGCCGCTGCCTTTGGCTCAGGCTGTGATCCCGGGGTCCTGGGATCGAGTCCCACATTGGGCTCTCTGCTCAGCAGGGAGCCTGCTTCCCCCTCTCTCTGCCTGCCTCTCTGCCTACTAATGCTCTCTGTCAAATAAATTAAAAAAAAAAAAAACAAAAAAAATCTAAAAAACACATTTATAGGATGCAAAAAACATACTTTAAGTTGCTTTTTACCTGTTTAATAAAAGTATTAATCAGAAAAATTTTAAATATTAATCAATTGCTTATATTTTAAAATAGTAAGATAATGGCAAAACAGGGCAATGCTACAGCCCACTAGTATGGTGACTACCCTTTGCAAATGTGTCTCCAAATGCTCACTGTTAAAATTTTTTTTCTTGCATTAGAATTCTCAAATGAACGCCAACGATGCTCACTGTGTTCCATGTGGAATCATTATGTAATGAAACTACTTCATTCCTCTATGTAAAAGTTTTTATTTTAAATAGGCTAGGAAAGCTTATGTTCTTTGAATTTGATTTTTAAATGGAAATCTAAATGGTATCTTAATGCCCACAGCTACGAGAATGAGGTCTTAAATACCAGGCAAAAAGAAAGATATGTGGCCACATATGTTTCTGAAAGTTTTTATAACTGAGAGTGGAAATACCCAAACCGTTTGTAACTCAGAACTATAGAGAAGTGACTGATGTCTGTCTCAAACCTTTCTTCCCCCTCAAAATGAAAAAATTTTTTGATTGTAAAAAAATGACAATTATATTTTTAAGTAAAACAATACTGAAAAGTGCAAAAAGTGATAGTCTCTTTAACATTTCAGAGACATTCTTCCAGATTTCTTCACATATATACACTTAGATATAATTTTCAAAATTTATACTGAATCTTTTTTTTTACTTAACAGTAATGTTACAGAAATATTTTTCTGTGTCCCTAACTACTGACCTACTGCATTTTAAATGTGTACACGGCATATACCACCGTATAGTTAAGCCATAAATAATTTAACTAATCTATACGGAAAGACAATTAGGTTGTTTCCATTTTTTAGATAATACAAACAGCACCATACCATGTACGGGGGTGACACATACACATGTAAATGTTTATGTCATTTGCACAACTCCTAGGGGTAGGAGAGAGAGAGAAATTTACTTACACCAGCATTGAAATGAATGGATTCTACTTTTTCCCCCAAAGATCTTATTTGTTTGTTTGTTTGTTTTTTGACAGACCGAGAGAGAGCGCATGTGAGAGCCCAGGCAGGGGAATATAGACGAGTTGCAGAAGCAGAGGGAGAAGCAGACTCCCCACTAAGCAGGGAGCCCAACGTGGGGCTTCATCCCAGATTCCTGGGATCATGACCGGAGGCAGACGCTCAACCAACTGTGCCACCCAGGCACCCCTGGATTCAACTTACGCAAGAAATTAAAAACGAATTTCGGACTTCTGGTGCACATAACTGGGCGAATCAATTTTAAATTAATTCACATTCCCCAATTTCTCTTCACAGAAGTGTTACCAATAATTTCCATTCTCATCAACACGAGATTTTAAATTGAACAGCAGGTTAGTTATGGAGTGATTACGTGGAGTCCACTGGGTGTTTAAAACTCTGTCTGGAAAAAATACAGCACGGAAGCGCCACAATGCTGGGCAGAGCCAAGTGTTTTTCAAGACTGTAAGCTCTTCCCATGGTCTTGTTTGCCTCTGAATCCCTCATATCCCCTTCCCTATTAGAGGGAGCTAATTTACTAAATTGCAATGAATACCTAAATAGAAAATTAGAGAAAATCTAAAAGATCCTACCATACATATCACTGTTATAATGAGGGAGGCTGAGGATGTGAAGACATTCTTACAAAAGATATGTGAAAACCAACCTTCAAGACCCAAAAAACTGGAATTACAAGCAGCACAGCTCTGGGAAGGTTCTGGACAAAAAGAATTCAAGAGAGAAATGAAAAAGATCCCGTATCAGTATACAGAGTACTACAGAAGTGACTGACAGTGGCTACGAATCAGAGACAGATACAAGTAGAAATTAGTGAGGGAGGGACTTGTCTGAACCAGAGGTTTCTACAAAATGTAAGTCTGGCTTGATCTGTCATCATCTAATTGTTTGCCATATAACTATTTGTCCATCCTAACAGAGGGGAAAACAAGTGTTCACATTCTCTCCTTTCTCCCTGAACTTGGTATGTCTCCTTCCCCGACTCTCAGCTATTATCTCTTTAAGAAGGCTCCACGCCCAGCACAGAGCCCAATCTGGGGCTTGAACTCACCACCCCCGAGATCAAGATGTCAGCAGAGATCAAGGGCCGGTCCCTTGATGGACTGAGCCACCTAGGCGCCGCTCAGCTATGATCTCCGTGTCACTGAGAAAACAGAAGCAATCCAATCTGTTAACCTACTGAATCTCTGCCTTTCTTCCTGTTTAAGTGAATGGTCCCTGCTCCTAATTAAGGCCAGACATCTCTCCACAATGCTATCAATGTCATCCCTCGCAAGTACCCTTTCCTTTGTGCATCACCAATTTTCTTCCCTACTAGATCACTCCCTTGAGCACGCAAGCAGGATGGAACAACTGCTCTCTCACCAGACGCCCTCCCCCCACCTATGTTCCCTTCTACCCACAGACCCGTATCTCTGCTCCTTACACCGCACAACTCCTTGAGAATCCATAATCATGGTCTCTCTTTCTTAGGCTTGATCAACAAAAATAAATGCCCAACAGCTGGAGAATGCCCCGGGCAGGTAGGGGTGCAACTACCTGAAGCGATGCTGTCGTTAAACACCCTAACTGTGCAAAAAACTAATAAATCTGTAAGTTGTTTTTTTTTTAAGGATTTTATTTATTTGACAGAGAGAGATCACAAGTGGGCAGAGAGGAGGCAGAGAGAGAGGGGGAAGCAGGCTCCCCGCTGAGCAGAGAGCCCGACACTGGGCTTGATCCCAGGACCCTGAGATCATGACCTGAGCCGAAGGCAGAGGCTCAACCCACTGAGCCACCCAGACGCCCAAAAACTAATAAATCTAAGCACAGAAAAAAGTCTGGAAGAAAATTACCTAAATGTTAATAGTAATTATTTACATATAGCGTAGAAGAAGAATTAATGAATTTCCCTTCTTTTTCTCTCATTTCTAAATTTTTATTAGTATTATGTTACTAGTGTGTGGAGGACAATTACTTAAAAAGAGAATGTAATATACAACACGGTGACTAGAGCTAATAATGCCATATTGTATATTTGAAAGTTGCTAAGAGAATAGGTCCTGAAAGTTCTCATGACAAGAAAAAAGCATCTTAGCTGTGTGTGTGATGAATGCTAACTAGACGTAGTGCGGTGATCACTCTGCTATACGTACAGATACCAACTAATCGTTACACACCCCAAACCAGTACAGTGTTCTATGTTCATTACAGATCTCTCAAGCTTCTCGAGCTGAGGGCCCCTCGGGGTCTGTTCTAAAGCTGAAGCAGTAAGAAACTGGGAGGCAGCCTCCCCGGACAGAGGGCGGAGGGCATTCCCGCTGGCCTCTAGAGCCTAACCGCTGAATTAGACGGAATTAAATGGAGTGCGGCTCTGGAGATTCTCCTCCCAACCTCTATTTGAAATGCTAAGTGACCATTCAGGCGTTCCTTCTTTCCACACCTACTCATCAAGGGTAATTTCTCTCCAGTTCACTCTGCCACTGCGCGCCAGGTACCGTGCAGGCTCGCGGTTGGGGCAGGGTCACAGAATCAGACAAGACCTCACACTGCTGCAGCTCACAGTCGAGGGAGGAAGACCGTGTTTCAAGAAGCGATTCAGTTCCGTATCATATGTGTGAGAGGACTACTTCGTCCAGGCCAGGCTTCTGAAAGGATGTGTATCTAATTTGAGTCTGCAGACTGAGGAGTATCACTAGGACCAACAGACAGAGATCGGGCATTTCAGGCACGGGGAACAGTAAGGCCGGAGGCGGCAGCAGCGAGGAAGCCTTCCGACTGCAGCAGGGAATGCCAGAGGGCAGGGAGGGAGCAAGAGCTGAGCCTCGGAGCCCAGCAGGGGCCACACTGCGGGGACTCCCGTAAACCACTGGAAGGAGCTGGCCTATAGGTTGTGGGTAACAGGGAGGCTTATGATCAGTAAAGTGACTATTATCTGTTGAACTGTGTCCCTCAAAAAAAGATACACTGGAGTCTTAATCCCCAATACCTCAGAATGTGACCTTATTTGGACATATGGTCTTTACAGAGGTAATCGAGTTAAAATGAGGTCATTAAAGTGAATCCTAATCCTATATGACTGGCCCTCATACTGGGCACAGAAACACACATACGTAATGGAAGATGATGTAAGGAGACACAGGGGAAAAGTCCACCATCTACAAGTCAAGAAGAGAGGCATGACACAGACCCTTCTCCCTTACAACCCTCAGAAGGAACTAACCCTGATGACACCTTGATTTTGGACTTCTAGTCTCTGTAACTGTGAGACAGTAAATTTGTTATTTTTAAGCCACATGCATAGATACATACATAGGCATCCGTAAAACCAGTGATAAAAATTGAGTATTACTTTTATTATAAAAGTAGCTTTTACAGGTACTTTATAAGGTATTACAAAAGTACCTTATTTTAAAGTAACTGGGTTATTTCTTATACAACACAGTGCTGTAACATTCAGAGTTATAAATATATTTATGTATTCTGACCACAAATCCTACAGAAGTATTCACCAAAATCTCCTCCTGGGAAGACCTGTCCTGAGGATCAACTGCGGTGCTTACAAAAATGCAGGCTTCTGTGCTTGGCCTCACACCAATGGTGTCAATCAGAATTGTTCTAGATTTCCCAGGACAGCCTGATATTAAAACTATGGAAATGTTTTAGAAATTCCCAAACTACTAGAATATATTAGAAACCAATTTTTTTTTTAATCACCAAGAGTGTCTCTGCCATCTGGAGGATGCAAAACAACTGTCAGACTACATGCCTTCATTTTTTTGGTGAAAATACTGTGCTATGTTAATATGCAAATACCACCTAAAAATTTCTAAAGAACAGAAAATGGACTAATAAATGAGAGTATGTGTATGAATAGCCTTAACACATAAAATGCAATAAAATAATAAAATACCCATTTTCTTTAACATCTAAAAAGTCATTCACTTACGTCCTGAGGATGGAAGAATGAGGCAGCTTGAGAATCTTTCTTACATAATCATAGACTTTGCTACTGCACAAGTAGAGTGTACATGCAAACTGTTTCATTTCTGTGGAGTACTCAGCTGTTTCTCTCCAGTTATACAACTCCCACTTAAAATCTGTCAAAATAAATTTATTTATTCTTTGTGATGAAGAGTGTGTACAGTAAAATTCTCAGGTATAGGTCACAGCATTGGGGTATAAATGCAGTGGGCATCTGAACCCAAACCCAAACCCAATCACAGTTTCACTGCATTTGTTCAAAGGCTAACATCCAATCTGAGGACCCCCTGACCAATTCCTCCTGTTCATCTCAGATCATTTCACTCAAAAGAGGGAAGAAAACAGTTTCCACTTAAGTCACTGTTTTACTATTCACTGGCAGCCTAAGTGGGGAATTTTAGAGGAACAGGGAAGAGAAGGAAATAACCGGATAAAACTACGTCTCTGGATTATGAGTACTTTTATTTGCTTTATTTTGTTCCCTGGTTACCATTTATCTGAGGTGAAAATGAGACACAAGAAACACTTCTGGGGAGAGGATGCTATTCGGATTGAACAGACAATCTTGCCTACCTTGAGAAAAAAAAAAAATATCCTTTTCCTGGTGGGGATTCCTGTCTACTACCTCTGCTCCCAACCGGAACACACAAACTACTCTCCTCCTCTGGCGATACCTACTCTCTTCTAGAAACAAGACATACTTTTTTTTTTACTAGAACCTAAATCCAAAATCTCTGCTGCTTTCATCAAAGAGTAAGTTGCCAATACTTATTTTGTCCCTCTTCAAATATCTGGTTCACAAAGAAGAGGAGGCAGTCTTTCCAATGGACGTATCTACCTTCTATAGAATATTTCAGAAAATAGTATGGAGACTCACAGAATTTTCAAGCTCAAAGGGAACTGGCAAAGTAATCTGGTTCGACTCCATGGCAAAAACACTTTAGTGATAAATTATGTAGCAGTTAAAATTGCTCACAAAGAATTCGCTGTAAAACGAGTGTTTTATAAAAAACGAACAGTACAGTATATGGTATCAACCATATGATCTCACCTCTGGGTAGCACGATTATGTGTGACTTTCATCATTTATTTATTTCTTTGCTTTTCTTATAATAAACACATGACTTTTAAAGCTGGAAATACATGAAAAGATTTTGGCAATTACTTTTCCTTCTCTTTGCTTACCCTGAGACTTCATGTTTCAGCAAAAAGCATGTTTTGATGGGCAGGAGCAAAGGAATTACTTAATAGTAATTCGGAAAAGGGAACCATACCTGAAAACTGTGCTCGGAGCAGACACTCTGTCTCTTCAGAAAGTAGTTTCTCGTCTACGAGAGCATCGATCAGTCGTAAGCCCTTTCTCTTCTTGATCATCCTGTAGTTTTTCACAGAGACCAGTCTTTTTTTGGACACTTGGAGCATCTGTTGCACCTCAGCCAGCTTCTCTGCGCCTATCGTCAGAGGCCTCTTTAAACTGTAGTTATGGTCCTCGGTGGCAACCTCTTGCGAATTATCGGGAAGTGGTTGTTTTAGGATTTTCTGTCTTGCTTTGCCTTTAAGATGTACACCCTGAAGAACCTGCATTAGAAACATCCAATTCAGGTTATTTTTGAAACTGTCACACAGAAGACTGTCTGTAAAAATACCACTAAATGCAAAGCACTCACCTGGTTGCTGTGGAGAGTTAATTATGAAAGAAAAAGGGTTTTTCCATTTTTCTCACCTATACAGAAATCGTGTACCTGATGCCAAAAGTTAATATGACTCTGAAAGTGTCTGAAACGGTTAAGGTAACAACAGAAAGGTGGTAATTTGGGAAGGCTTCATGGAAATGAGTAGTTTTTTAAAGGAGCAATACATGATTCAACAGAGATAGGAAAGTTATTTGTGCAAAAAGGAAGGCATAGTGGACATGGAAATTAAGACTGATCTGGGTTTGAATCCTCGATCCCTCATTTATTAGCAGTCACTAAACCTCTACAACCCCTCATCTCCTCACCTGTACAATGTGAATAATAAGAGTTGTCCTGAGGATAAAATAAGATAATTTATGTAAATCTCCTGGCACAATGGCCTGGACTATTGTAGGTCACAACAGTAACTACTCCTGATATTACATGAAAGCATGAAAGCAAGTCAATCTATCACATACGCAGTAGCTTGAAAAGAGAATTCAGAGCAGTTAAAAATGCACAATTAGAAGGAAGCTCTTAGGGGCGCCTGGGTGGCTCAGTGGGTTGAGCCTTGCCTTCGGCTCAGGTCATGACCCCAGGGTCCTGGGATTGAGCCCGCATCAGGCTCTCTGCTCAGCGGGGAGCCTGCCCCCCCCCACTTGTGATCTCTGTCAAATAAATGAATAATATCTTTAATTAAAAAATAAATAAATGGAAGCTCTTAGAGCTTAGGAGTCTGGGTTTAACACCAACTACATTCTTCTGAATGGAGGAACGAGAAAACAATACCAAAAGGAGACTCCAATGGATAAGAGGAGGGAAGGGCAGCATCAGGACGGAATGGGTAGATGAGTACCGCCTGTTGTGCAGACAGTGAGGAACCATTTGGTAAAAGCAGAAACGAAAGAAACATAAGAATGTAACACCAACACGAGTGATATACCTCTCTATATCAGTGCTAATAATTAGGTACATTTTTGGTCAAGTTCAGTAACATTACTGGGAGGGACCAAAAAAAGCATAATTTCTAAGTATTCTGGACTGTCTCACACTTAAACAAAAGCCTGAATTCAAAGGGATCTACTAGGTGATTCTTGTGATCAGTTTAGTAATCTTCATATGTGTCTTGGACAACAATTTGTAATGATATACCTAATTAAAAAAAAATTCCAAAACTACATATAGATTTTTTTTTAAAAACCCCAAACGAGTTTTCTAAGCATTTAAAATCTATTATTGGATTTATTTTAAGACTTAGGATTTTTTTTAAATCTCTGTAAATTCAGCTGTAATATGAGGTACCTCAGCTTTTAAAGGCTCTACAGAATTTAGTTTTTTTACACCTAGATTTAAGTACCTTGTATAGAGAAACAGAAGGCACAGCTCCTTTTTTCAGCTTTCTTCTTATGCCATATGACTCAAAGTCACTTTCTTGAAAATGTTTGGAACATAGAATAGCACCTGGTCCTGGGATCCAAATCTTTTTGCTTCTGGGGTCCACACGATTAACAGCCCTGATCCATTTTGAGCGCTGTATGGTATCGGTTGGAAATCTACAGCAATCATATTAAAGTTCCATTAACATGAAAGTATTATAGTAATACTACAGTAGTATTTATTACATAAACCCATTTATTATTTAACTGCTTTACATAAAACATCAAGTCCAGTTAAAGTTTAACCTCAATCTGATTTCATTTAGTTCTTTGATTTTTTTGATTCCAAGACTTCAATATCTAGGTGATCTCATTTGTTTCAATTTGTATGAGGGAAATTCTCATATTAAAGGCCCGACCACATTTTGTCTTCGCTGCCTACACTTAACAGAATCTGCTCAAATTTAGTGTGTGTGTCTTTAAAAATGTCCAAAAATTCTTTGCTTCTCCTCCTTTCAAGGGATGGAGGCTAATTCCCTTCCCCTTGGGTGTGGGCTAGCGGTAACAATTTGCTTCTAAGAAACAAAAAAAGCAGGAGTGACAATGGGCTAAGTAAGACTAGATAATAAAGACTAGGTAATAAAAGGCACTCGTTCCCTCTGTTGAATGATTTTTCTCTGGAGGGAACTTCTCTGCCATGTCAAAAGCAGTCCTATAGAGATACAGGTCCACTGGGCAAGAAACAGGCTTCCAGACAAAAGCCATGGTCAGTGAGTCTTTCTGAAAGCTCACCCTTCAGAAGATTCTAGTATTGGCTAACATTTTATGGCAACCTTATGAGACACCCTGCAACACTGAGTTAATCCACTCCTGAATTCCTGCCCTTAGAATTTACAGGAGATCATTTTTCCACGTTGCACTTCAAAAAAATCTGTTACCGAGCCATAGAAAACAAGTCCACTTCCCATAATCCATTTTCCCTTTTTCTTTCAAAAGGCACCACTTTTTCCTAGCCTTGAATATAAAAACTACCTTGTAATTCTCTATTTTTAAGCCCAAATTACTACGTTTAGAAATTGTGAGAAAAAAATTATGATAATGATATAATGAAAATCACAAAACTACTCTTTCTGCACCCTCTGCCTTGATTGGTCCTAGGGACAGATCCAGGGGGAACTGTGTGATTTTTGTATCTTTTAGCTTAGATTTTAAAGCATGTACTTCTTACAAACTGAGACTAGTGAAAATTTTAAGTTCCCCAGCTCAGGGCTAGGGAAATAATACAGCAGTATGGTAACAGAATTCTGAGATATTCTCTCTAATCACTTGAGAAAGAACACCGAAGTGGAAAACCTGTATTTAAGTGCCTCAATGACCTTTTACCAGCCATGTGGAATCCGATACATCTCTCAATCTTTGAGCTCCTCACAGGGTTGTTGTAAGGGTGCACGATGCAACAAATGCACTCAAAGCCTTTGTAAATGGTAAAGTACGACCCAGAGTTTGTTCTTTCCTAGGAACAACAATTCCACTTTCAGGACTTTCACTGCATTATTCCAGGAAGATGATGCTACTTGATTGAAACACAGGTCTTTTTCTAATAAAGGTGAGGCAAACCTATCTCTTTTCACTGAGTTCCTTTCTTAACTAAGGACACATGTTTGTGAGGCAGCTTTCCCCCAGACTGGGTGGTAGTCTCTAACCACACAAAGGACAGTAAAAAGGTGGCTAGTCCACCAAGTCCTATTACTAGCCTATCCTCCAACACAGCTTCCCAACTGGCACGCCTGCTGACCACCGCCAGCAATCCCCTTAGCCCACAGAATGGCCTGGGCCATCTGGAGCCCCTAAAGCAGGTGTAACAAGCCAGTCCCAAACAGCTCTGTTGGCTTGCCCCAAAGTATTAAACAAAACGAAAGGGTTGGGAAAATACTGTAGTCTAACCAGCATGACTAATTTGAATTCTGAATAAAATTAAATTGGTAATAAAGATTAATAATATGTTTGGGATGCCTGGGTGGCTCAGTTGGTTGGACGACTGCCTTCGGCTCAGGTCGTGATCCTGGAATCCCGGGATCGAGTCCCGCATCGGGCTCCCGGCTCTGCGGGGAGTCTGCTTCTCTCTCTGACCTTCTCCTCGCTCATGATCTCTCTCTCTCTCTCTCAAATAAATAAATAGAATCTTAATAATATGTTTAAAGCATTCACCTTGTGCCATAAACGTGTGTGTGTGATTCAAGTTTTTTTAATTTAAGTCATCTCCACATCCAACGTGGGGCTCAAATTCACGACCCAAGATCAAGAGCTGTTCATGCTTCCACCTGGGCCAGCTGGGCACCCAGATGTGTCTGTTTTGAAAATTTAGACTCAGTCTTTTTTTTTTTTTTTTAAAGATTTTTATTTATTTATTTGACAGACAGAGATCACAAGTAGGCAGAGAGGCAGGCAGAGAGAGAGGGGGAAGCAGGCTCCCTGCTGAGCAGAGAGCCTGATGCGGGGCTTGATCCCAAGACCCTGAGACCACGACCTGAGCCGAAGGCAGCGGCTTAACCCACTGAGCCACCCAGGCGCCCTAGACTCAGTCTTACAAAAATTCTGCACAACAGGTTTGTATCCTTTCCGAGAAGATGAAACCAAGACCAGACCTAAGTATAGCTACCATAAATAGTAGCTAAATTTGGAATTCACATCTCCCTATTCTAAAGCCACCTCTGGCAAAAGAAAACTCCCCAATCAATCATCATCTCATAAATACAAACATGGGGGCGCCTGGGTGGCTCAGTGGGTTAAAGCCTCTGCCTTCGGCTCAGGTCATGATCCCAGGATCCTAGGATCGAGCCCCGCATCAGGGTCTCTGCTCGGCGGGGCGCCTGCTTCCTCCTCTCTCTCTCTGCCTGCCTCTCCGCCTACTTGTGATCTCTGTCTGGCAAATAAATAAAAATCGTTAAAAATAAGTAAATACAATCATGAATTGGTTTCTACTAACGCAGAATCTATTTTCTCTCTCCTGTTGACTAGGCTTTTTTTCACACTACCAGCAGAAATTTACCTTTGGCTCCCTGCATATATTTTCCAGAAAAGTGACTAACAAAATCCTTTCTACAGTGGCTGCCTCTAAGGAGAGAGAGAAGGGATTCAGGGGTAAAGCTTTAACTATACCTGTTAACTTAATTCTCTTTTAAGAGGATAACAAAACGAAACAAACCAAAACCTGAAACAAGGCAAACTGTTAATGTCTGCTTAATTCTAGCAGTGCACCGAAGTTGGTTATGTATTATTCTTTGCCTGCTAGTGTGTTTGAAATGTCTCATAATTAAACGTTTAAAATTTCATTACAACAATTCAGGTAAAAACGTTTTCAAATTATCATACATACATTTCTTTGGTTATGAAATAAATTGTTTAATTTCTTTATACCAACAACAAGAGAATGAATCAAAGTGTCACTCCTTTAAACTTGCCAGTCCTATCTCATATTTAAACATTTATATGTTTAACTAAGTACCAGTATTCTCATAACGAGTTTCCACACCTTTGATCACTTTGATTCGTGCTTTTCAGACACAGCCCCTTGCCTGTGTCCTTGCAACATCTTTCACAACTCTTGGTAATGGCTCTGGGGACGCTGGGGAAGGCTTCAGAAGAGATAATATTGGAGCAAGAACTGAAGTGTCGATAGGAGTTTGCCGTGCAGACAGTGGCCACTCCACGCAGATGCAACACCACAGAGATATAAAATAACTACTTGCATCTTACTGGTTCATAAAGCATTGAAAAATAAGTTAATTTGGAGGATGAAGAAGGTTAAAGGAGAGTACAGAGGTAGCTGGTACTGGTGACAGATGGGCTGGAGGGACGGCTAGAGGCCAGATCACAGAAGATCTCGTATGCTGCAGTAAGTCTGGGATCCATCCTTCAGGTTAGAGGCCTCCAGAGGAGAATGAACTCATTTACTGAGATTTGAAGAAAATATTGGAATTTATTTTCACAATTTTTTTTGCCCCATCCTTTAATTTTTGTTTCATAATATACAGGAATACATCATTCCATGTATGTAATTTATAAATCACCATGTACATATCAGGGGCAGCACTCGAGGTTCCTTTTGGGGAGGCCTCCGTGATCAAGAACCTTGAAGACGGTATCTTTGGGCAACGGCAAGTTGACAAACTCTTTCCTTCCCATGTTACCTTTTTGCTAAACCCTTACTTCTCATCCATACTATCTTGTCGCCAAGCCTAATGCCATAGCATTGTAACTCCTCTCCCTGTCCTTTCCCTGCCTTCCTTACACCGTCCTGGGTATAGGAAGGCAAAGATGACTCGCTCCCATTCACACGTGTTTCACCCAGCACACACACCGGGACGGAAATACGGAGGGGATGTAATTCCGGTTTGGAAGAGAGGCAGAGGAGGAAAGGCTTCCCAGAGGAGCTTGGACTCTTTTAAGGCACTGAAAAGCCCAAAGTAAAACCCTTTTGGGAACAAGCACAGAAATTGCATTTTTAGAAAAATCATTTCCGGGAATCAGGAAAAGGCAATGAACGGACAAGAAATCAGCCGGGAAGAATCAGAGCAGACTACTGTAGTAATTACATCACTTTCTTTGGCCTCTCTTTGGTCCTCAGTATTTAAAATAAAAGCAATAAACGAACTCCTCCTCATCTAAAGAACCCAAGAAGGCACAGGAAAATCAGGACTACAAAAAATTAGGGAAATAAGGAGGTAAGTAGGGACAGAGTGGCCACAAAGCCAATGGAGAGGAGCGCGTCATCGAGTAGCTGATACGACTAAAAGTTAAACGCGTCAGCAGGAGGATTTCCCAGCGCTCACTGGGATCTGGCAGTGCTGGCGACCCCGTCGGTGCCTCAGAGCAGCCGTGACACACGCCTGGCTACAGCAGGTCGGAAAGTCGACAGCACTTAGGGGCACAGGGGACGCTCCTGCTCTGAGGAGTCCGGTCACCGGGGTAGGGAGTGGCAGGGGTGCGGCCGCGCACGCAGGTGTCCGCGCGAACCGAGCGCCGCGATGAGCAGCGGGAGCACGACGGAGAGACCAGAACCACTGACGGGGACGGCGGCACCAGCTCAGCCGGAGGGCTCAGCCTTACTTAACCAACCAGTGAGTACACGGCCTCCCGCGCGCAGCCGAAACTCTCGCACCTTCTTTTCCAACGGCTTCCGGCTACTTCTCCTCTCACCCCGCGCGCCCTCCCCTCACGTCTTCCCGCGCGGCTCCCAGCACAGCGCTAACGCCCGCCCCCGGGGACGCACGAGGTCCGGCTCCAGCACCACCCGCTCCTGAGAGCGCTCCCCGCTCTCCTCCCGAAGCCCCCGACGGCCCCCACGCCCTCGGCGGACCCGGCGCACTTCAGTCCGCGAGGACCGGTGGCGCGCGCCCGCGTCCATGCACCCGCGCGCGCACGGCCCCCGACGGACGACGGCGCTCGGAAACGCGGCCCCGCTCCGAAGCCGAAGCCAGCTTCCCCACCACGCCGGCTGCAGCCCCTCGGCCGGGCCCGCAGGGCGCAGCCAACACGCCGAGTGCGCGGCAGGGACGCGCGGCGCCGGCGACAGCTCGAGCCCACCCGCTCCCGAGCGAGCCGCACTGCCGCGGGCTCGGACACCTCCGACAGCTCCCCACACGCCCTCCCTTCGCGCCTCACGCTGAGCAGTGAACGCGACCGTAGGGAGCGCGGCTCCGCCCCAACAAGCCCCGCCAGAAGCCCTGCGGCAAGCGGCAGGCAACTGGGTGCGGGGCAGGAAGCACCCGAACTCTCCAACTTCCCCATTCCTGTCCCCCACGCTACGCGCGTCGCATCGTGTCACGTCACGTCACGTCACGTCAACGGCGCGGCGCACGCCCGGCCCCGCCCCACCCTGGCCCGCTGCCCGCCAGGCCGTGCCGGGAGTTAGACAGCCGGAGGCTGTTCTCACGCACTGGTGGAAGGAGAGGCCGCGCTCCCGGCTCAGCACGGTGTCCCGGGTGCTGCAGCCCACTGCCGAGCAGCTTCGGGTCATCTTGCTACGTGGGGCTCCACTTTGGGTGTTCCCGCGACCGCATTAATCGCGACAGATTTGGCTCCGCCCGCGGACTCGGCGGCTACGACCTTTATTTGTCGGAAAAGGCGGGCTCTTACGGCGCAAGACTCCTACCCTTCCTCTTCGGCGGCGCTGCGCTGGGCGCCGTGACCAATCACAGGCCACGTCGTGCCGCCGCAGCCAATCGGAAAAGCCGGGCATTAAGACGAGCCTTTGACGGCCCCTCCCTCTGGGCTTGAGGGCGCTTCGTGGGTTTGGTGTTTGTGGCCTCGTTTTCGTCCTGTGTCAGCTCCGGTGGTTACATCCGATACCATCGGGCTCTTGTGAGGCCGAGCGTGAAAATGCGGAGCGAAGAGGCAAGAGCGAAACCGAGGCGAATCCAGGGGCACGCGGATAGGGCCCGGGCGCGAACGCAGAAGCGCCCGGAGGAGGAGGGGGGAGAAGCGCAGCGCCCTGGAGATGCGGAGACGGAATCGGGCCCCCACGTCAGCGACCCCCGAGAGGCGGAGCGTCTCCCTGCGATCCATTAGGTAGTGGCTTGATGTGGAGGTAGTGGAGGAGCTGCGGGTGTGCCTGGCCCGAGATCGGGGACCCGGAGGAGCTCGAATGACAGTGCGGTGGGGACACGTCGGCTTCACTTCAACGACCCCTTCTCCGGAGACCCTTCGCCCCTCTTGGGGGGTGACGGAAGCCGGGTAAGGCCCTTGGGGCCTGGTGTGGTGGGGACTCGGCCGCACTACGGAAGGGCAGGAGGGAGGGGACGGTGAACCGGCGGCTGGGATGGGGGGTACCGCGGATGGCTCGAGGGCGCGAAGGCCTTGGAGCGAGGTCTCGTGCGTCGTGGGGAGGGTGTGAGGCTGCGGTGCTCACCCCAGACCCGAAGTGGGGCGTCGTTCACGTCGGGTCCGAGGGCTGAGCCTACTGTGTGCCTTCTTCCTGCTGGACGTTGCAGTCGCGTTAGGGAAACAGAAATGCTTGTGCTTTTTATTCAGTTTATTTTCATTTCTTTCTGCAGCAGGCGAGAGTGATTGCCAATTTCCAGGCCAGGTTGCTGCTTTCCCCCTTTTTCTTTGCTTAGTCCAGGTTCCAGCCAAAAAGGTATTACTCGCATCTGCTTTTCCATTACAACATTCTCCTATCTTGTTTGAGCGAAATGAACAGCTTTTGTATATATATATCTTTTGAAGTCACGTGGCCTAAGGATAGTTCTGAATTTGGGGAAAATTGATCCAAATCCAAATTGTGCAAAGGGTAGGACCTGGATTTAATTCACCTTCAGTTTGTTAGACTCTTAGGAATTTTTCTAGTACTCAACCAATTAAGACCCCAAATAAGGCTAAGTAGAGATAAATAACAGTTTTCTATTATCTTTTTTTTTTTTTTAAGATTTTAATTATTTATTTGATAGATCACAAGTAGACCCGGGTGGGGGGGGGGGGCTCGATCCCAGGACCCTGAGACCATTACTTGAGCCAAAGGCAGAGGCTTTAACACTGAGACACCCAGGGGCCCCAGTTTTCTACTTAAGGAAAAAAATTTTGCCTCCGTTTTTTGGGTAACCTTTTTACTGAGATAAACCTCATATACCGTACAATTAACCTACGTAAAATGTGTACAGTTCAGTACAGTTTAGTATATTCATGAGTTGAGCAACCATCACCACGGTCAGTTTTAGAACATTTTTATAACCACCCTCCTTCCCCAAAAAAGAAAACCCGTTCTCATTAACATTCACTTCCTCTGGCTCCCCTACCCTCAGTTATTGGAAACCACTGATTTTTTTGGTATTGATTTGCCTATACTGCAGATGTCATGTGAATGGAATCCGAAACTTAATATATGGTCTTCTGTGAGTGATTTCCTTTCACTTAGATTGTGTGTGTGTGTGTGTGTGTGTGTGTGTGTGTGTGTGTGTGTGTTTAAAGATATTATTCATTTATTTGACAGAGATCACAACTAGGCAGAGAGGCAGGCGGGGGTGCGGGGGACAGGCTCCCTGCTGAGCAGAGAGCCCGATGTGGGGCTAGATCCCAGGATCCCAAAATCGTGACCTGAGCTGAAGGCAGAGGCTCAACCCACTGAGCCACCCAGGCGCCTCTTGCTTAGGATGTTGTTAAGGTGCATCCGTGTTGAACAGTACTTCGTTTTTTTTTTTAATTGCCAAAAGATGTTCCAGTGTATGGATATACTGCTGTGATTGTATTTATCCATTCATCACTTAAACACATGGGTGGTTTCCGTTGTGGGGGTTGTTAGGATAATTCTGCTGTGAACATTAGTGTACAAGTTGGTGTTGGGACATATGTCTTCATGCTGAGTACATATCTCAGGGTGGAATTGCTGGGTCATATGCTGACTTACGTTTTAACTCTTGGGGAAATGCCAAACTTTTTCCAAAGTGGCTGGACTATTTTACATTCCTTCCTCCATGTTCTTGTGAGTGTGAAGTGGTACTTCATTGTGGTAGTTGCCCAATTTTTAAGGACTTGGGGTTTGTAGGGAACCTGCTAGACGATGCTCCTTGAGTGTAGAAACAATGTCTAAGGTGAATTTGTCTTTACAGTCTCTGACACGCAAATAGATAATGTGTGTTTCTTCTGTAACATCGTATATGTTCGTGAAAAATACCGCCTGTTCAGAAAAATCGTGCATCTGAAAGAAGCCAAACTTACGGGGAAAAAAGAAGGTTAGCATTGACTACTCAAAATCTGTGCAATTTGATAATCTCTGAAATAGTGATCAGTACCTGGGGAAGTGCTCCTGTGCCCTCCTCCCGTCCCCTCAAAGGTAATTTAAGTGGAGACTGCTGTAGGTTATATTAGAACAGAAGAACGAGCCTGGTGGATGCTAGACATTGCAGAAAGGAAGTGGAGCTCTGAGTTACAGCGGGCTGCTGGATGGTAGAACCTGTTGAGCGCCGGAGGGCAGGTGGAGGCTCTCATTTTTTACTAATTTAGAGTTGAAAGTACCCCTGCTGCCAATTCAGCATCACAGTCTGGAAGAAAAGAGGGCTTTGCTTTCTGCTTAATTGGATTTCAGATGTTGTGGCTGTTCTAGGAAAGATAAAACTGTGACACTCATGTTATTCTGAAGGCATTCTTTTTTTTTTTAAAGATTTTATTTATTTATTTGACAGAGAGAGATCACAAGTAGATGGAGAGGCAGGCAGAGAGAGAGAGAGAGAGAGAGGGAAGCAGGCTCCCTGCTGAGCAGAGAGCCCGTCGCGGGACTCGATCCCAGGACCCTGAGATCATGACCTGAGCCGAAGGCAGCGGCTTAACCCACTGAGCCACCCAGGCGCCCCTCTGAAGGCATTCTTGTAATTACTAATTACAAACGAGTTACTGAAAACTACAGTGCTGCAAAACAGATTTACTTGAATGGTGTAGACTGATTAAAAATTCACTTTATGGGAACCATGCGGGGTCACTGCCCTAGGTATTCTTTTTTTTTTTTTTTTAAAGATTTTATTTATTTATTTGACAGACAGAGATCACAAGTAGGCAGAGAGGCAGGCAGAGAGAGAGGAAGGGAAGCAGGCTCCCCGCTGAGCAGAGAGCCCGACGCGGGACTCGATCCCAGGACCCTGAGATCATGACCCGAGCCGAAGGCAGCGGCTTAACCCACTGAGCCACCCAGGCGCCCTGCCCTAGGTATTCTTAATGTACTTCTTCTGGATAGGGAAATGTGCAGTCCTTCGTAAATGCGTAATTCTTCTTGAGTTGTATTTATGTGCTTTATATTTAGTTGTAACTTTTACATTTTTGTTGCTATTTTACTGGTGACATTGAGGTTCTCAGTTTGATCATTTTATTATCTTTGCTTCCTTCAATAACTTCATATCCAGTGATTAAACCTTTTCACTGCTGTTCACATAATGAACTGTTGTGATTATTGGATATGTAAATGAGGATATGTAAGCTGTTTTAAAGATGTTACTGCAAAAGGCATTGACCATTTATGCAACGTAATTTAAAAGAAAATACTTCTTTTCAGGAATTAACATTCTTGGAGATGTTGGAAAAACATTCCTGGGCCTTGCAAGATTATTACTCCATATATACAGGGGAGGTAGCATATCGGTATGTATCTTTGTTTTATTTATTTATTTGTTTATTAAGATTTTATTTATTTATTTAACAGAGGGATAATGAGAGAGGGAATACAAACAGGGGGAGTGGGAGAGGGAGAAGCAGGCTTCCCACCGAGCAGGGAGCCCGACGCAGGGGGATGCAGGGGGCTCGATCCCAGGACTCTCGATCATAACCCGAGCTAAAGGCAGACACTTAACGACTGCTATCTGTTTTAAATAAACGCCCCTTCTGTTTTAAATGTACTAAGTGTTCCTGGAACAATAGTACTGAGTACTACTGAGTTGGAAATAGAGGATTGTCCAAGGAAAGATTTTATGAAGGCTTTGGTAAAATATAATTTCCTGTCACAGAATCTCATTGATTCGGTAGCTTGGGGGGAAAATAACAGCTAATGGTTATTGAACCATTACATGTCAGGCATTGTGCTAAGCATTTTGTACACACAGTTTTGGTTTTTATAAACACTGTTTCTCACAAACATGAAACCAGATAGACTCTTTTTTTTTTTTTTAATTTGGGGGAGGAGCTGCTAGAGAATGCTCCTGGATTATAGAAGGAAAAGCCCACCGCCCCCATTCCTCCTGCAGAGGGAGAAGCAGACGTGCTGCTAAGCAAGGAGCCTGGAGGCGGAGCTCAATCCCACGACTGAGATCCCGAAGGCAAAGGCTTTTTTTTTTTTTTTTTAAATGTTCACATTCATTTTATTTATTTTTTTAAAGATTTTTTATTTATTTACTGGACAGAGAGAGAGAGAGTGATCACAAGTAGACAGGGAAGCAGGGTCCCCGCTGAGCAGGGACCCTTATGCGGGGCTCGAACCCAGGACCCTGGGATCATGACCTGAGCCGAAGGCAGAGGCCTTAACCTGAAGGCAAAGGCGTAATGAACTGAACCACCTAAGTACCTTGAAAGCAAATAGACTTTTTGCTTTCTAGGACTGGTATCTTCCTTATTAAACATCTACCCTTTTGTCAGATTCTTAACTAGTTCTAGAACCCTTAATGCTCTCATATATTAAAACGTATTTCTAGTTAACGGACACTGTTGCAGAATTTTTCATCTTTTCAGTTCAGAGAGCCTTGGGGTTTTGAAATTACTGGTGGCCAACTATAAAAAACTGTTCTAAATCTGATCCTTTCCCCAAGGGTTCTGGGATTGAGCCCCTTGTTGGGCTACCCGCTCACTGGGAAGTCTGCTTCTCCCTCTTCCCCTGCTCCTGCTCTCTCTCCTTCTCACACTTTTCTCTCCTGTGTGCTCTTTCTCTAATAAGTAAATAAAATAAAATAAAAGATTTTATATTTGAGAGAGAAAGCATGTAAGCAGGTGGCAGGAAGTGGGGGAGGCAGAGGGAGAGGAAGAACTGAGCAGGGAGCCCAACACAGGGCTCCGTCCCAGGACCCCAAGATCATGACCCAGGCCCAAATCAAGAGTTGGCCACCCAGGTACCCCCTACATTTTACTTTTTGAATATGGACTGTGGTCTTCTGTATTAATTATTTATTGCTATGTAAAAATTATCCAAAACTTAGTAATTTACAACAGCAAATGCTTATCTTATAGCGGAGAGTGGAGAGATGTCAGTTTCTTGATTCTCATTTGGCAAGTCTCAGTTCCTTGATGGCTCTTGGCTAAAGACTTCAGTTCTTCACCGTGTGAACATAGGCTGCCTGAGTATCCCCACAACATATCAGCTGGCTTCCACCAGAGGCAGTGATCTAAGAGAAATGCCAAGACAACATGTAGGTGGGCACATACAGGGATGTGAATACCAAGGGTTGGGGAATGTTGGGGATCCTCCTGGAGGTTGACTGCTACACCTGCCTCTTTTTTTTTAAATTGCTTCAGTTTATTGAGTCAAGAGTTTAGTATTTGATCCTCAGGTCAGATAATTAGAAGTATGAGAGTCTGGATCCCAATGAGCGCTCTCTTTTCTAAGGTGCACAGTTTCTTGCTGGTGAATATATCAGTTCCATAAATGATGCTATAGTCCTTTTCGAAGTTTTCTAGGGAGTGTATAAGAAAGCTCATTTTATAGCTAGAATACTCTACCTTGATCATATATATTTTTTGGACCCATTTCCCCTTTCCCGGTTCTTCTAGGTGGAGGTGGTTGGAGAAGCTGGAGGTAGACTGTATATAGAAGTACCTGTGCTATTTTGCTTGCGGTGCACACTGACTTGGTGGAAATTCGTGTTTCAAGTTTTTCAAGGAATGTAGTCCACAAATACTTAAAGGCACTTATTCAAATATTTGACATAGGATGGAATGAAGGTACAAATATGCTACAGCAGCTTTAAAGCAATTTGTCCTTTTCCTCAAAAGCTAGATATTTATCCACTATGGTGAGTATGCTTTTCTTTCTTTTCTAAGTAGGCTTCACGCTGGGCCTTGATCCCAGGACCTTGAGATCAAGACCTGAGCTGAGAGATCAAGAGTCAGACACTTAAACCGACTGAACTACCCAGGCGCCCCATACTTCCTTTCTTTCTGTTGCTCTGCTCCCTCCATGGTCTTCTGTCCCTCTTAATGAGCAAAATACGGACTTTACCAAGCAATCAGAATCCCCATTATTGGTAGAATTCTAATTAGGGCTCAAGATTTTAATCTTTTGAGCCTTTTCCCTTTATCACTGCTTAAAAGTTGTTAGGAGGGACAGTTCTCCCCCTTTTCCTTTAAAGCTCACATGCTTCTAATGATTGGAGATATTGTCAAATAACAAAAAGCATTACATATAAAGATGTAACCAGTTTTGGAATGTATTTGTATTAAGCTATGATTATCCTTTCCTTGGCAAGCTTAATGTTGAGAATATATTTCTGAGTTAGCATAAGGTAATCTATGCAAAGTAGGTAAATAACACCCTTGAAATTATCTTTGGTGTGAGTTTTTTCCCCAATCATAGTAAAATTGGAGGTCTTAACCTGTTTATGAGAATTCAAATTTATAGAAATGTGCATTTATTATGTGTTCTTTAAAAGGGGCTAAATCATGAAAACCTTATGAGTAAAGCTTAAGCTGAAAATAGGAAAAAAATACAAATGTCCAATGATTAAACTTTTTCCACTGCTGTTCACATCATGATTTGTTGTGATTAATGTATGTGGATGAGGACATAATGGAAAAAGAAAATCGTAGTGGAGGAAGAAAAGTATAGATGGGATGTAGTTTCTGTGTGTTGAATTACTTATTAATGTTTTCCCTTTTAGGAGTGAAATTGAAGGGTGTTTTTCTTAACATTTTGTCAGATTCATCTGATAAATGTGAACGTTTATATAGAAGGTAAGAGGTTTATTAATTTGGTAATTTTGACAAAAGAACAAAATAAGGTATCAGGTAACAGTGGATATTTGAGCATAATGTGGGTATCATACTCAAATTTTTTTCCTTATTTCATCTTTGAAAAATAATACAATTTTCTAGTCAGTAGATTAGATTCAGGATTGGCAATTGGGTGACTGGGATCAGGACTTTTAACCTTCATGATCATCTTTTCTCAAAAATAATAATGGAAGTCAGCCCCTGAAATTCTTTTATTTTTTTATTTATTTATTTAGACAGAGTTCACAAGTAGGCAGAGAGGCAGGCAGAGAGAGGAAGGGAAGCAGCCTCCCTGCTGAGCAGAGAGCCGGTTGTGGGGTTCGATCCCAGGACCCTGAGATCATGACCTGAGCCGAAGGCAGAGGCTTTAACCCACTGAGCCACCCAGGCGCCCCAGCCCCTGAAATTCTTGGAGATTATATATTGCAGGGTTTAAATTTGCTGAACTTTTGGATGTTCTATAAATATTCTTGGATATGCTAATGAATGAACATCCTGTAATTTAAGCTTTATTCAAGAAAAATAGGTAGTCAAAAGCTGGAAATCTCAAATCTAATACCAGATTAATCTGTCAGGCATGTTGTCTTGGTGTGTTTCAAATCCGAGAAATAGAAAGATATAAAGGAGAAGAATGTTCGCAAATACTCAAAGTTGATTTACATGCATTTTCTATTTTTACAGACCTAAAAGTTGATGAAAAACTTTTTGTTTATTTGCCTTAATGAAAAGATGTACAAAATAAGTGTATTCAGAAACAAAACTAAAACCTTGATGAGATGGATGCTGTTACAGGAGTAAACATGGTGTCTGCTGAATGGTACGGAATAAGTTGTAAACACACACAGTCTGGTGCCTATGATGACTGTAAAGTTACACAGTCTGGACAACAGTAGATTTGTCCAGAACTTTACACTTTTGCAAACCTCAACATTATTGAAATGAGGGAGGGGGCCTAAATTCTCAAAAGGATGTCTTTGGACTGTCTGCAAACACTAATATGAAGATTTATATATTACATTGTCTCCAAACATTTTTCTAGCTCCAGTGAGTAATTCAGTCTGGAACTAACATTCCTTTGTGAAAACCTTCAGTTTTTTATTTTGATCTAGGGTTATGTTTGGCTAATAGTTAAATTGGTTTAAAAGTTGACTATTTTGTGAACTAATATAAGTTTTTCTTTTTAGATACAGGTAGTCTTTGCACCGTTCCAATATACATGAAGATCAGTTTTTACAGTTAAGTAACACCAATTCCCCTACAACATGGTTGAAATTTCAGTTACTACAATAATAACCAAATTGTTGCATAAGCTTTTCTGAAGCTCTTTATTCCACAAATGATTATATATATAAAAGATGGTCAGTAACCACTTATAATCACTTCTTTCAGAAGTCTGTTGGTCAGTGATCATTGAACACTGAACATCTATCAGTTCACAAAGAGGAAAGCATGTAGTTGTGTTGCCTGTTTCCCAGTGATAAACTCCCCAACATTTTGCAAAAATGGACCATCTAAAGAGGGAATTGGTCAACAAAGATGACAGGGCAGCAAAGAGACAAAAATTGGTAACACTGGAAGTGACATTGGATGTCATTAGAAGATTGGAAAATGGTGACAGCAGAGTGAAGAAGAGAGCTGGGCTGACATGAGCCTGTAGTACGAACCATCTTTTAACAGTTCAGTGAAACAAGAACTTTTAGGTAGAGTTGCTTCAACATGTTTTAGCTTAAATTGTACTAGGAACAGAAAGCCATGTATGGTCGAAATGGAGTGTTTACTTCTACTTTCAACTGAGGGCTCTAATAAATAATCCCAAGCACTTTGGCTAGCATTCAAGCCAAAGTGTTGAGGTTAGTTGCTGCACTGAAGGAAAATGGTAGCTAAAAGGAGACTGAAAAAAACATTTTACTGTCCATACAGGCTGGTTCCATTGCTTCCAGAGTCGGCATGAATTGATTAACCTTCTGCTGTCTGGCGAAGCTGCAAGCTCAGATAAGGTTGCTACTGTGAAATTTGCACCATTATTCCAAGAGTCACAGGCAGTCCTTTGCCCAGTATAAGACTACTGTGTTTAAAAAAAAAAAAAAAAGACTACTGTGTGAAAACTTCACAGGGTTTAGCTGTAATATAAAGGGAGTTCTTAGAAGATAGTTGACCGCGGGAATGTTGACACTCCTACCATTCAAGCAGCAGTTCTAGATACCCAACCGGAAGAATTTAGTGAAGGTGAACATCGTAATAAAGGAGAAAAGCATTTGTGTGTTGTAAAGGAAGAATACGTTTCAGAGCAAGTGATGTGGGTGAAAAAACCACATTAAAGGAGCTCTCAGATATTTCATGACATTGAATGCGTAAGGAATTAAATTTTAGAAGCCGATCCAAACTCAAAAGAGTATGACTGTTTGCCAAGGTGTAGAGAAGATGCTTGCTCCATATTGTAAATTACATGAGAAAGCAAGCACTGTTCAAACTCCTCCTGAGACTTTCCTATAAATAAAATGCTATAATTTTCAGTGTTTGTTTTCAGTACTTTATATTTATAACCAACATCAAGAAAGTTTATGATGTTTGGATAAATCTTAGGTTATAGAACAATCAAGATTATTAATCCTATAGATTGACTGCCTTGCAGTTTTAGTTTCGCAGTCCACAGGAGAACTCCCTGCATTTAAAAGAGCTAGGAACTCTGTATTTAACCAGATACAGATTAAGCCTAGAAACAAATATACTTTACCTTTATCATTATCAGTTATAATCAACATTTTTCATACTGCCTTTGTATGCTACTATGTTGAGGCTATTAAATTATAATTCTGTATGTCTCATACTTTTATTTTGAATGTTGATGTGCTTTAGGTAAAATCCTCTAATGGAATAGGTGTTGCAAAGTTTTCTTGTAAAGGGCCATACAGTAAATACTTCAGGCTTTGCAGACTGTTACGGTTTCTGTAGCATGAAAAGCACCACTGACAACACGCGAATCATTGAACGTGGCTATGTTCCAGTCATGAGACTTACTTCATCAAGGGCCTTGTGTACCTCACAGCCTACAAAAGGGGGTGGGGAGCAGGGAGCTTTATAGCTCAACTTGTGCAGTAGGAACATGTACGTTAAATGATACCAAAGAATGTAACCACTGCTTGAATCACTGGGTTTTAGTAAAGCTGTTCAAATGAACCCTCTCTCCATGCCAGTGTGCAATTCCAGGTAGTAGGGAGTTTGGTATTTCCTGTTGACTCCAATGATGGGCCCCCTTTAAAGTCGTATTTTTTTTTTTTTTTTTAAGTCTAATTTTTTACAGGCTCCTCTAGATAAACGCAGCTATGGGCAAAACTGGCGTTGTAGAACACCAGAAGTCAGCTACTGTAACCTAAGTAATCCGTTTAATCTGTTTGTGTCCTAGAAAAAGAAAACTCGGCTTTTCAAATTAAAAGGGTGTTCCAAAGAGTGCAGGGGGGGTGCAAAACCCCTGCTCTCCAGTACTTAGAAGTGGAGGCGCTTTAGAGAAGGCTTGAGGAGACCTGGTTCGGTCCGGGTTCTGACCGCCTACTAAGTGCTTTTCTTCTGGTTTTACTTCCTTTGAACTGCAAACGACACGCGCAGCACGTTCCTGGTGCCAGGGCCTGCGGCGAACCTCACGTCTCCAACGGCACCGTGCGGTGCTAACCGGCCCGCCTGACCCCTCCGCGCCCCTTCGGAGTAACAGGGTAGCGTGTCTGTCACGTCAGCAAGCACAGGCAGAGGGAGCAGCAGACTCCTGCTGCGCCGCGAGCCCGACTGGGGTCCGCCCCGGGGACCGCGACCTGAGCCATGCACGCGCCCTCACAGCCGACTCTGACCAGGCCGTTCGGTTTGAAGGAAGTTCTCAAAGGCGATACCCAGAACCAACCGTGACATCCTAAAAAGCCAGTCACACTCGTTCCGGCCGTTAGGGCCTGTAGCCCGACCTCTAGAGGCGTGACTCGGCCGGCGCTGCGGTGTCGCCGGGCTGCGCTCGTCCCCCGGCACTAACGCTATGTGGCGTCCCTGCGGGCCTCCGCCGCTCTCCGAAGAGACAGCTCCTCCCCGCAGCTCACCGCATCCTCGCCCCGCACGCCGCCGCTCACAGCCGGTCGCCAGGCCCGCAGGCCCGCAGGCCGCCGCCACCCTCACGCGCACCCGGACTGAGCCTCCGCCCGCCGCCGCTCCCGGAAGTGACGCGGCGGGCCGCGCGCCGGAGTGGGCGGGGCGAGGCGTCGCTCCCGGAAGCGTCGGCAGGCGGCGGGGAGGGGCTGCGGCTGCCACGTTGGAGCGGAACGTGGAGGTGGCCCTGGGGCGGGAGGAGGGGCGGCGGCGAAGGCTGGGAGAGTCCGACGGGCGTCGCGCGGACACGGGAGCCGGTCGCTGAGGGTCCCCGCCAGGTGTGTCCGTCTCTCTCCCCAACCCCCGGCCTTCGCCGGCCTTCGGGCCTTGCGGTAGAGCACAGGCGAGGGCGGGGAGCGCGGCGTCTGTCCCCACCGGTCCCCGCCAGCCTGCGGCCCGGTCTGTGGTGGCGAAGCGCCCCTGCTCCTCGTTTCTGGCCCGTCGGGACATCGCCTGGCGTCACGACTGCCTCGGGAATCGCGGCGATCCACATCCGCCGGCGTTTCCACTGCGGAGCGGGCTCCCCCCTGGGGCTTCGACGGGGTGTCCTGCCGGGGCGGGCACCTGGGGTCTGGGTTAGACGCCCGCACACCCTCGGGCACAGAGAGGTGCGGGCCCCAGGGGGAGGGAAGGGAGCGAGCCCCGGGATCCCTTGGGTTGACTTTGTGAGGATTTGTTCGTGGCTGAAGTGCTGCCGGGCTTGAAGGCTCGCGGTGGCGAACCGCCGGCGGCTGTCACTGAGCCGGGACCGGACCGCCTCACGGGTGGTCGCCGGTCTCCGCCTGCGCCTGGCGGAAAGCCGCTGAGTGCTGTCGGGCTTCCTCGGCAGTTATCCCGAGGAGAGAGTCAACTGCAGGGTAGGGTACAGCGAGCCAGAGGGTGGCAGGGGCGTGTGGGCGCCGCGAACTTCGCGGGGAGCGCAGGCGGCGGGTTCGACGTCGGTCCCCGCGGTGGCGGCGACGGGCTGCGGTGGTCTCCTCGGCCGTCTCTTCCGGCCGTGGGTCCTGCGGTTTGGCGGTCTTTGTCGCCGCTCGGAACTGCGTCCGGTCGAGAGGGAGGGGCCGGGCCTTCACCACCCGCCCCCGGTCTTCTGTGCTGACGGGTTGTGGGGGCCGAAGTCCGCTCGGTTTCCGTGCTTCCCCCGGGCTCTCTGGGACCGCCCCGGGAAGGTCCGCAGGCCCCAAGAACTGGAGATAACTGAGTGGTTTTGCAGTTGTGAAGTCGCGTTACAGAAGTGACTTCGGAAATGCGAGATCGGAATGGATTTGGAGTTCTACTGCTTGGTTTTAGATAAGCAGGTTCTTTTGGAAACGAATAACGTAATAACAAAGATATTTGTAACTGTAAAGAGCAGTGCCCCTTAACTTTATGAAATTCCACTCCTCTTTTAGGGTCTGTTGAAGGCGTTGGACGACCTTCCTAGAAAAATGCGCGCGCGCACACACACAGAATTTTCTACGTAATTTCATGAGGTTTACAGATGCCAAGTTAAAAATTCTTATCAAGTGATATTATTAAATCGATTTTTACAGTGTTTTTAGAAATGTGTCATTCTTAGGTTAATTTCAGCTCAAAAGATTATTTATTAGATTCTGGGTAAGTATGACAGATCTTTGATTTGGTTTGGTTGAATGAGATGTGTCTAGAACGTTGATAACACTAAGTAAATCCTCTAGAACAAATGTGCCCATCCGTAATAAGGCATTTGCCCACACAGATGGGCAAATACAGTGTTTTTACCAAACACAGTGCCAGGTAGGGATTGTTTGAGAGTAAGAGTTTCCTTTTTTTTTTTTTTTTTTTTTTTTTTACCTCTTCCAGTTTTTACTTTCTGAGGTACAAGTCATCTCTGTATGTAGCAGTGTAAGTTTAGTATTTTTTTAGACAGTAATACTGTTGGGTTTTAGTACTGCTTTACAGAATTATCAATTAGAAAATGAAAAGAAAGAAAAAAGCTTCCACTTAATTACATGCATTTAGCTACATACATGTTGTGGGGAGAAACTTGGATGAAGAAATGAGTTCTAGTCTGGGACATACATTTTCTTCAGTAGATGTATTCTTTTCTTTGAAAGATTTATTTATTAGAGAAAGAGTGAGTGTGCACACACACATGCGTGTGCGAGCAGTGGGGGAGGCGCAGAGAGAGAAGGAGAGAGAGAATCCCAAGCTGATTCCCCACTCAACGTGGAGCCCGAGTGGGGCTTGATCTCAAGCGATCAAGACCTGAGCCAAAACCAAGAGCCAAAGGCTGAACTGACTGAGCCACCCAGGTGCCCCCTCAGTAAATGTATTCTTGAAGATTCATTGAGATTAACATTTTAAATTGTGCCTTTTGCAATAGCTGACATTACAAGCATGTAATTACTGTGTGCCAGGCACTGTTCTCAGCTCTCTATGTAATGCCTCATTTAATTCTCACAGCCCTTCTTTTTTTCTTTAAGATTTTATTTATTTATTTGAGACAGAGTGAGAGCTAGAGAGCAAGAGAGTGATAGAGCATGAGCACACACACGAGGAGGGAGAGTGATAGAGCATGAGCACACACACGAGGAGGGAGAAGCAGACTCCCAGCTGAGCAGGGAGCCTGATTCAGAGCTTGATCCCAGGACCCTGGGATCATGACCGACCAGAGCTGAAAGTGGACACTCAGCCGACTGAGCCACCCAGGCGCCCTTCACAGCAGCCCTTCTGTATGTACTTTTATTATACCTATTTTACCATGTGTGTAGCCAAGACTCACAGAGAGCATGTGAGAGCTTGGACACGGAGCTGGAACTTGAACTGAGGGTATGGCTCCAGGCGTCATATCCTAAATTGCTGTGCCATTGATACTGTCTTGCAGATGACATATGTGAACAGGCCACTGTCCTCACAGTTTCTTTTTGTATTATCAGAATGATTTTGTTCTGTGTAAAATAATCTCGAATGAAATACGTCTGCATAATGTGAATTCTAACCACATATGATATTGAAAAAAATTACACAAAGCTTTGGAAGCATGTCCCACTTGGGAAGTACACATGGTTTAATCTAAGCATTCTTTAGATTTTCAAGAAAATTAGTTACAACTAAATCATTTTTAAGAGAAGGAAATATGCAGGTGGTATTTCCATAGTATTTTTAGTGTTTTGAGAATGATTGCAATGGATAATGTTATGGTTCTCTTTAATTAGATTCAGACCGCAAAAGGCAATTTGAGGCCGTTGTTGTAGTGATTAAAAAAAAAAAAAAACCCCACAAAAATAGCTGGTATTGAAACCTTGTATTCAGTACAAGTTAATAAATGCTGCCCCATCTAGTGGAACACCTAGTGCTACAGACAAGAAATAGACTTTTTTATAAGTGTTTTGAATTCCCACTTAACCATTTTATGTACTTGTGAATGTCTTTCTTTTTCAGTAAATGTTACACATTAACTAAGTGTTCATGAATTAGGTAACCCTTGTTGTACCTTTGCTCTTAGACATACTGTAGTTATGTTCCGTGGGTTTTTTTTTTATATATATAGCTGTTCTGTTTTCATTTTTAGAAATTATTTTAAAATATCTTCCAAAAATCCCTTTTTTCCTCTAATGATACTTTCTCCTATTTTTTAAGTAAGAAAAGTTAGTTATTAAAGCCATTTTTCCCTTTAAACACTTAAGAATTTAAAAATTAAATGTTTCACTTGAAGTAATTTTTCCAGCTCGTCTTTTTGTATTTCCATAAGTATAAACATTCAAAGTCAAACAAGCAGAACTCTTTATGTACCTCATCCTGTACTAAGCAATTTTGATTCCAAAAAGGGGCAATATTTGATTGAAAAAATTATTTACCTAGTTAATGAAACAAGATGACATATGAAACATTTGGTTAAAAAGGCAATGGGAAAATATGTAATAGAATGTTATAAAGTTTTATTAAGGTAGAGTAAGACACTTTATTATAAAATACTTGAAGTGGTACAGTTAAAAGATTATTTTGGTCATTGTGGATTGAATCATTAGGTTACTTTTCATGAAGGAACTGGGACTTGAAGGAGCTGGGACTTAACAATTGGCTGAGAGGAAGAGAGCATTTCATTTATAGAAAATAGGCCTCTTTTTCATTCTTAGAAAATTGAGATTTTTCCCCTTTTTTCAGAATAGTCTTAGGAAACTAGATGTGTAGTTTTCTTGATTAATCTTTGATTGTAATAATTTTGAAAAGTAGTTAGCATATTAAAACCCATGCTAAGCTATGTGCTAGGCACTGTGTTTGGCCCTACATAAAATACAGCATCTCAGGGTGCCTGTGTGGCTCAATCATTAAGCATCTGCCTTGACTCAGGTCATGATCCCAGGGTCCTGGGTTCAGCCCTCATCAGGCTCCCAACTCAATGGGAGGCCTGCTTCTCCCTCTCCTACTCTGCTTTCTTATATTCTCTCTCTAGCTGTCTCTCTGTCAAATAAATAAAATCTTTTAAAAAAAATTTAAAAAATGAATAAAAAATAAAAATACATTATCTCATTTAAACTTCACAACATCCCATGAGGTAGTCACTCTTTTACAAATGGGGCTCAGGGAGGTTAAACAGTGTGTTCAAGGTGTCCTAAGTAGCAGACCCAATATTCAGATCGAGCTTTGACTCCAGAGGCTCTACTGCTTTTAACCACAAGATTCAACCTCCTCAATCCACTTTGCCTAACCTAGTACAGTTTCTTCTGCTCTTTTCTTTTTTTGAAGATTTTATTTATTTATTTGAGAGATAGAGCACGAGCAGGAGGAGGGGCAGAGGGAGAGGGAGAAGCAGACTCCCTGCGGGTGAAGCTCCATCCCAGGATCCTAGGATCACGACCTGAGCGGAAGCAGATGCTTACCCAACCAAACCACCCAGAGGGGCCATTTCTTCTCTTAATGTCCTCATGCATTCTAGCTGCTTTGTTATTATTTCTTCTAAATGTTAGTATGTCTTTTGTGATTAAAATTGAATACCTGAATTTGTTGGGGTAACAAGTAAGAGTGCGGACTCTGGAAGTAAACTTCTGAGTTCAGATCTTGGCTATACCCCTTGCTAGCACATACAAATTATTTAATATTTCTGTGCCTTTATTTTTATTATCTGTAAAATGCTCTCCAAGTATAAATAATTTGAACATGTAAGGCCTAGGTCATATTGTTAGTCTAAGGCCCTCTTAGGGAAACTATTGGAACATGAACTTCATCTCTAGAGATGAGTAAGAAAGCCAGCAAAAGTACTTTTGGAGAGCATTATATATATATAACTATAGACCTGAGACTAAAATGAAAGTGGGAA